CATTTGGTGTTTTGCCATTTTGACAGGTCTTATGGCATCCAGTATTTCAGAGCTGCCTATTCTCAGCTCTTCTCTTAATTTGAAAATAAGTGTCATTCTGTTTCATTTGATCAGTGTTGAAGAAAAACACGCTTTTCCTTACTCAAGTTTGTGCTTTTCCCAGAAAGCGTTTTTAGTAGGCCTAATTGTAGGCCTAATTGTAGGCCTAGGTAATTATGCAAAACCCAGGCCTAACTAAAAAATTAAAATTGTCATAGTATGTAACTCAAGTTAAAATAACACTTTTCATTACTCGTGCAGCTTAATCAAATATTATATGTCATTTTAAACGACCCATTGGTATAAACATGGTAACATCAATGTATTTTTAAAAATTAGACAGCGACGTTCTGTAGACGTTTATCTGTTGATGACCTTTTGACCTCCTGAATTCTGCAATGAGATTTTCGGGTCGATTCAGCCGAGACGGCCCGAGTGGAGTTTCATGTAAATGTTTCGTACGGGAAAAAAAATCGCCACCGGCTGGCGAGTAAGGTATTATTGAGTCCATTGCAAGTTGTAAACCAATCAGAATGCTGGGATATTACATCATTCGGGGCAACTTGCAATGTTTGGGATATGTTACTCCGCGAAACCTTTGTAAACACTAGAAGTGTGACGATGTTCTCTGGCGATTAATACTGAAGTTTCGAAAGTTGGAAGGCGTACCAGTTTTTTGTTTGTTTTTTTTTAAATAATTCTCAATAAAAACAACCATTGAACAAGAAAATGAAACTATAGATCGTTATATATGTAGGTATAAGATACTTTGCTGAAGTTGTACAGGCCCAGGCCTAATGTTCTAGGCTACATTCAAAAATAAGAAGTGTCGCCGGCCGACTGTGTGATGCCAATTTTTCTGGCTTAAAACGAAGCCTAAATGGCCTTTATTGACAAGTGGAGAGCTGGAATCAGCACTCCCGAAATGTTGGTGAAAACTCTGGAACTGTTTAGGTTGAAATTATTATGTGAAATTGATTTAGAGTTATCTCATAAAGAAAAAATTCCATCCACGCATATTAAAAATAATTTCCGCGCAAATGTTGCAGTAAAGTCGGCCGGTGGCTATTGTAACCAATGTCTAGGCATTCGCAGTGTTAATTAACCTATTTTCTCGAAATTTCCTGCATAAATAAAGAAAAATACTGAAAAATTTAATGAAAGTGTACAGAAAATATAATTAATGTTTCAGTAATAATAATTAATAATTTTATAATTAATATATCAATCCACTTAAGTAACTGCAGATTTTGGCAATCCATTGACTAGACGGTTTAGCTAGCACATTATTACTGCTCATGTTTTTATTTTTTATATTGTGTATATCTGTTAAATTAACAGAAGTTTGTAATTTTCTTAGAAATATTCCTAACAATTGAAACTTTCCATGAAATACTTTCCCTTTCCTTTCAGAATTTTTTACCTTGCACCTTTTTTCTTTACTATCCCTTTAATACAGTATCTATTTTCTTTTTAATATTGTTTCATCCTTTTTCTTATTTCGTTTTTGATACTTACCTTTCTTTTAGTTTTTTCATTGTCATTTTCTTTCCACCATTTTACTTCTTTCTTTTTTTTTCTTTCCTTCCTTTTGTTATTTCTTATTTATTATTTTTCTGGTTTTTTTTTTTTCAATTTCTAAAAATCTCTTCTCTTTTTCTTTCATGTCTTCTTTCTTGCATAATAATCCGTGGGGACAGTGTAGGTGTGGGTGGGTGGGGGTTTGTTAGGAAATATAAAGAATAAAATATTGCGCAGCGTTTATTATCTTAGCGGATGCGAAAAGGATGGGGAAATATGTGCTACTAAAAAAATTACTTTTGCTACCAAATTTTTTTTGGGGGGTGCCAGAAAATTTTGGCAGTGCTACCAAGAAAAAAAAAAGTTAATTTCAAGCCCTGTTTAGGATGTACTGATATTTCTGTATTCTTTAAGATACTGCTAAAGCCTTGTCTGTGCTGCTGATAACAGTGTTCAATTGTTACCCTTTTTTTTATGTAGTCAAGGAATTTGGTACATGCAAAAACAACTGACAGTTGTTTTTGCTCCTCAATTGAGTGTAGTTTATTAAGAAATTCATTTTATAACATCAAATAATTTTGCTCTCAGAAACTTAGGATGGAACATTGTTTGAAATGTTAAAGATCATCACCCCTATGGAAGGCAATCGCCGCCAAAAATACAGTTACAAATGAACAACCTACTCACATTCTTCTGACTCATTGATCATAGTAGTCAAAGAAATACATATTCTGCAATTCACCAATTTAAGTTTGTCCAATAAGTTTAATTATTTCATACAGAAATTGCAACAAAACCGAATGACAGTCTGAAGTGTACCTCAAAATCAATGACGATCCATTAGTCAGCGCTGGATGTGGTGATTTGACTAAGCGATAATCCTAGGCCCCATAGAAGGGCTCTCAAAACTCTTCAGAAAAAGTCTTGCAACTGACAGGAATTGAACCCATGACCCTGGGATTGGAAAGCAAGCATCTTAACCACCAAGCTATTCAACTCCACTCAAGCGTATTTCAAAGAATCTAGAAAACAAGAACTTTTCGAATATCTAAAATTTATCTTCCAGCGACAAAACAAGCTAGCTCTCTTCTCATGAATCTCCCAATATGGGAACCCATCTGTGCGAAAGCCAGGGTAAACTCTGGATCCGTGCTTGACAGGTATTTAATGCTATAGGGTATATTTACAGTATATTTATTAATAGAAAATAATGTTGCATACTAGAACTATCAGGAATAAATATACAGATAATTAGGCTCCCGAGGGGCATAGACACAAAAACCGCTTATAACTCAAATAGCACGCATCATCATCTGGCACTTTAGCAGCGTGTGCAAGCGACGCATTCGCTGCATTCGCTGCATTCACTTTATTAAAAACTATTTTCTCCATGATAAAACGTCTCTTTTTTTTTTTTCTTCAATTTCCAGACGGCTCCACGGCCCTCTCAAAATGTTTCGCGGCCCAAATTTGGGCCGCAGACCATAGTTTGTGGAACATCGCTATAGTGCATTAAGATAGATAGCGAAATTAAAGGTTTAAATTTAGGGTCAAGCCAGCTCCACCAATCGATACCTCAAATTTACATGAACACGTCGGGACAATGTTATTCTATGGGTTCTTTTGAATGTCAGTAGTACAGATACATAGCCTTGCATGCATCTACCTACTTCATTCAAGAGAAACATTTCTCTCATGTCCAACTAGGCTAGGCCTACTGTATATTGCTGTACTTTCACGTACAAGAGGGTGGCCCAACACAACTGGGGAAGATCCAGTAGGGGAGAGGGACGACACGGGGAAAGGGGAGGGCACGTGCCCGCCCCGTTTTTCCACTAATTTTTTTTTAAATTTCAATGCAATGTTATGTGCTATTCACCTATTTATTATGAAACTGTTGTTATTATAATGATTAATATTATTGTCTGTGAGTGACATTAGCACAGTTTGGTAGAGAAATATGTAGCACACTCTGGAAATCCTTGACCCAATGGAGGATATTCAAACTGATTAGGGTTAAAATGACCGTATTCAGCACTAAACAACACATGATCTATATGAACATACCTACACTAGTAGCACCCCGAGATTCATCCAATTTAACCTCAAATATTCAAGGTCCAAAAACTGTCTCCATAAACCACTTGAATTTTTCCCCATTTTCCGTTCTTAACCCTGAATCTATTATTCACCTAAAATAATCACTAAAATTCACTCTCCTCAAAATCTTATTTTTGCATCATTTGCTTACCACAGACCACTTCAGACAAACCGCCTGTAGTTGTATGCGGTATATTGCAAAAAAAGAAAAAAGAAAGAACTCTTGTACTTATTTTATATCTATATAACAAACTTGAGAAAGAGCAACAGCATTATAGTGCTCCCCATACAACATAATCATTATGTAGAAACAATTAAGGCCAACGCTGGATGTGTCCATTAGCTATTAAGGTTGGCACTGTAGATTTTAATCCTAACATACTGTACTTCTTCTCCAGGAAGTACATGTGAAATCACTACTCCCAGACCATAAGCCACCAACCAGACGCATTCGCATATTCACATCATAATGATATAACAACTTGTTATTCATAAGCTACATTTACTATATTGAATGCCTTTTCACATGCAGAGGTCCAATTTCCGGTTACCTCTTAATGTTGTAAGTTATTTTTTGCAGAAATTTTCCATAATATTTATAATTTGTGACAGGCTCTGGTTAAAACCCTTCCAGTTGTTGCAATTTCCCACAAGCACCCGAAACGTAATGTTTTTGCATTTTATAAAAGATTTCACTTTCACTTTATTTATTAAAAAACAACACATGCCAGTATTACAAATGGTGGCCCAATGGGCCAAATTGCTTGTAATATAACAAAAGGCAATATATAAAAAATACAAAAATATAAAAATGACATATAAGTACCAATAGAACCGAAGGTAGCACCAATCGGGAAGGAGGGTGGCACACTCAAATCATCAAATGTAATATTACTGAATAAGTTATAAATCATTAAGTAATTGAATATAATAAGGGATTGGACTGTTTAAAAATCTATTGGTTTTTGTGTTAAATTGTGTGATTTTGTTACCATTGCGGAAGTTTTTATTGTGGCTGTGGTAAGGAGTACGTGGTACAAGATCATAAGAATGTGATGTTGAAGTGAGACCCTTGGCAAATTTGAGACAGTGTCCCACCCTCCTTTCCGAGAGCAGTTCGAGTTCACAAAGGCCAAGAGCATGTTCATAAGAGTTGAAGTTTTTGCCTAGGATATGGCATGCTCTTTTCTGTATCACTTCAATGGTGTTACTTTAATCTTGAGTGAGACCTGGGTGCCACACAACATCAGCATATTCTACTGTATTAAAGTACATTTCTGAAAAATATCAATCACTATCAAAAGTATATTAAAATTATTTTTAATATACAGATCTTGATAAAAATTATTGATTTTTGAATCTTTAGAAGCTGTTCTCTCAAAACCTACATGGCTGAAATATCCAATGAATTACGTGCATAACTTTGCTAATACTCAACCGATTTTCATCAAATAAACACTGTTTTAACTTAATCTTTAATATTTGTATTCTTTTAATACATTTCAATTTCATGCTGGGGAGGGGGTCCAGCTGCAATGACATTCTGCACCACCAAGCAGTAGGGGGGGGGGGAGGGCGAAGTTACCACGAGAGCAAAGTAAATGGGGTCAGGCATCTCTCAAAATCTCTTTAGTGGTCCAGGGGGGCATAACAATTTAGGGGTTTCAAAGGCTTTAATCCCCTGTGCAGGGTGGTGACGACAAATAATAAAAAAAAAATTATAATTTGCCTATCCAAAACATTGTTTTGTAGATTGCCAATCCCAGATTGGTCTAATTTGGGCTATACTATGCAAAGCCAAATAAGAATATACACTCCCAGAGCGAATTGCGAACTCTAGCACCAATTCACAATTCGCATTAAACACACTTGCCCGACCAAAGCCACACTAACATACCAGCACTTATACTTACAGCTAAGTTTAACAGGTAGCGAATAAAAATTAATTTTGTATTTGATGCCTACACAGTGTTAAATTCTTACGTTATTATTTTTGGCAGTTTTTTGAGAACCATTTACAAAACAAATTTCTATCTACTGAACAATTGGTGTAGGCCTGTCCATGACCAACACTAGGCTGCCAACCACCTCACCATGCAAATGATTTTGATAAGGCCAAAACATGCCCAATCATCACGAGCAGAGAATCACTCAAATGAAATTTCCTCCATGGTAGTACGTGTACTAAGCATGCGCTAGACACGAAAAGATGTCCAACTGATCGAAAGAATGATACGCAATTATATAGGCAAACAACTCCATTATCACTAAAGCCATTGCACGTTTCAAACAAGCCTGTCGACTATAATCGGTACACAGAGCGTGTCTAATATCGTGAAACGTACTAGTAACAGAAGGTTTTTAAATATATTTGATGATGCTTTCAACTAATGTATTACTATTAAAACATAATATGTTTTTCTTTTTTTTATAGGCAAGAAGACTGTACAGGCCTTCCTGATAAATACACCAATTCTTGAGGGGATTGCTGAAAACGACAAGAAATAAAAGCTGTAAAACAGTATATTCAATGAGCCCAAAAAACAAAGGAAGAAAAAAAAAAGAATTTGTAAGGTCATTATGATTATTATGCAAATTCGTCTCAGGCAAATTTAAGGGAGCAAAAATCAATAAAATCAAACCCTCAGCAATTACTGGAGTTTTATGTAGCATTTTGCATTTGGTTATTAATATGGATAGGTACATTTTAGAGCTTTTTAAACTGAGGTAGATTCTTATGTGCTCAAAAAAGGAACTGCTCTAGTTTATTGTACAAATGCTCAATCATTAAGTGAAACCCTAGTCACTGCCCCAGTTTTAATGAGTGTTGTACAATTATAAATGCCCTGATAGTTGAATTCAATGCCACTATTCTGACTACAGCATTAATTGTAGCAACTAAATTCATAACATTTGTGTTGTATAAAAAAGAAATTGCATTTTTTTAAGCATCCATTATCTATTAATTTAGAACTTCACCAAAAGTGCCCATCACAAAAGCCCAAATTTTTAGTCAGTCACTGGCAGCCCCGGATACATTTGGTACATTTTCGAAAGTGATGGGCCCCCACCCCAGCCGGCTGCATCCCCACACGCCATAGAATCTGCCTCCACCACATGGCAATAAAGAATTAAATACATAATTAACCACCATAGTAGGGCTTATGAAATACATAAAAAGACATTACATAAATACATGTTAAAATCGATTAAAACAATGTGTATAGCCCTAGTAATAAATCGGATATTTGGATGGAAAAGGACCATCGAGTAGACCATAAAGAACGATTATCATTTTATTCAGATTGTCCTTGATGTTATTCAGACGTTTCTGAGCAATATAACTTGTGGTATCAAAGTCATATTTTATTAATAAAATGAATTATTTTGTCTACCTAACCATCTTTATATTGGTATTTTCTTGAAAACCTATTAGAGATGACCAGAAGAAAAACGATTCAGAAGTCGTAGGCCTAAAATTAGTATTGGTAAAGTAAATTTTTGTCTGTCTCTTTTAAACTAATAAAATGTTGGTACCTTATATGACTAGGACAAATGTAGCTAAAAATTTGGGTAGAGGGTGCCATGGGATATGTCACGCACCAAGTGGGGGTGGTGTTCACTTTTTTTGTTTAGAAATGCTTGAGACCATAGACAATGATAAAATTTAAATTGGAAATTGGCGCTTTTTTTTAATGCCTATTAGAAAGTCGTTCTCCTCTTTCAGGACTTCTCTCATACCAATATTTGGGGGTGATAATGTTTATTTATATAGCATATCTTCATTGGAACTGCACGCTAATGAAATTCATATACTTAATTTATATGTTGCATGCAAATATTAAAGCTATTAAGTGTGTGCAAATACTATTGTTAAATAGTCGCACAATATTTTTGGAATTGTACAGAATGCAAGGGGCCCACAAATTGTTTTCACCGCCAGGCCCCATCATTACGCCACTAAAATCATTCCTTTGGGTACTTGTATTTAATGAAGAGATGCTACTTTATTTTTGAAGACTAAAATTAGTATTCTTTGTCTAACAAATACTGATGGTTTCGAATAAAAATAAAATTTTATTTTTGGCCAATTAGCGCGAACGCCGCTATAATGAAAACGTGGAAATTAAAAAAAAAATAAAAAAAGTTTTTCTTCATTTTTATTACACCCTCCGCTGGCTTGAAATCTCCAAATATATGATATTTCATCCTAATTATATTCACCAATAAAATTTTACTTTTATTTTCTCCTCCATCTGGATGTTTTTGAAAACAAAATTTTATTTTTATTCTGCCCTCCTCCGATGATCTTAAAAACAATAAGTACACGAAACAAGGAATAAAGAAAGTCTCGCCTAACAAATACCAGTGGAAATCAGCTGTATTGGGTTATCTTGATGTCAAATCAAATTCATGTAGAAATGTAATAATTTAAAAATGTATTTTTTGTATTTAACTAGCACTCTTACTAATACTCTAAGTACCCGTCCCAGAAACCCAAGTACTAAGGTACTTGGACACTAGTATTTAGAACATGTACTGTATGGTACTTTGTTTAAGATTAATATTGATGTACCATATTTATTTGAATAAATAATAAATAATTAATAAGAAGGGTTTTTGAGGGAGTGGTTATTCAGGGGTGGGTTTTTCTTTAATATAAAAAGGATACATTATACAAGGATACACTATACTCAAATAACGTTCCTTAATGTGGAAATGCAACACATAATTACTATCAAAATATGTTACTGCATAATCATAGACATATTGATCCAAACCACGTTAAAAAATGTAATTCTACTGGAGTAGCTTATTATTAATAGAAAGTGTTGGGAATGATTTTGTTTACAGTCATTTGGTGGGGGAGGGGATGGCAGGGCTTATTCAAGGAAAAATATAAAAAACTTGAGGCATTTATTCGAGGGAGGTGTTTATTACAAATGAGGCTTTGGATGGGGTGTTTATTCAAATAAATTGGTAATTAAGCAGTTGTTTGATACTTGTTCTTGATCATGCTTTGAATGATAAATCTGTATACTGTAAAATACAACTGGAAGTCAAACCTGGTAATGTTTTATGAAAATAATGATAAATCAAATTGATGGTTGAGTGAAGGTGCTATTCTGTCCTGCTGTTGTCTGATTTGATATATCAAATTAAATCCTTTATATACAGTTAACAAAGTCAGTAAAAGCAAATAATTTACATTACTTTAATAATCCTTTTTTTTTTAATAATATAGTCAGCATTTTCTTGCACACAAGGCCTGGCCCTGACTTAATTTAACGCTGGTGTAGAGCATTTTCTTTAGGAAATATAGCCATTTGAGAAGGTGGCGACAAACTACCACCATACACTATAGTGGCTATGAATAATCAGAAAGTATATTTAAAGTTAATAATACTTTAGTATTCCCAGAAAACTACTTTAATTTGTTTTACTGTACCATACTTGTACAAACAAGCGCCCGGGCACTTAAAAATTTGTTTTACATCATTTGAGAAGCGCTTATTCAAGTGGGGAGCTTAAGAAAACAGTGGGAATATAGGAGGCGCTTATAGTAACTTGGAAAATTCAATGAGCACTTTTTGAATGAAAAAGATATTATTCAGAGTACCCCATGAACGAAGCCTAGATTAAGTAACAATGTGTAGTCGAGTACAATTATTGGAAGACAATAAAAATAATAATTTACTAACTCTAACGAATAACTGATGCAACTGAAAGAAAATTAAGTCGATATACTGTACTGATTATTTTTTTAGGAGCAAGAGATGTTTATTAAAATTTAGGATAAGTTAAGATAATATAAGATAAACATTTATTGTTATGACCACATAGCAAGTTGTACATTAAATTTGATGCTTCAACTACATTACATAAATAATACAGAATAAAAATATAAAACACAAAAGAGGGGTGCTTAAGAAAATATTCATTAGGGAGGCTGCTTATTATCATGAGTAAGGTATTTTGAAATACAGTGAATAGGTTATATATGTTTAAGCTTGCGGTACACCACGTAGGTAGTTCTGAAAAGAACTGTTCTAGTTGAGAGAGTCTTGACGTTTCGATTGAGTTGCTTTAGTCGTCTTCAGGAGAATAACATTCAGTGAATAAAAGCATGTTTAATAGTGGATAATGTAGAATAACAATAATGACGAAGGTGGATGTATTTTTGACAATCCATTCGGGTACAAGAGCAATAAAGTTGGAGGTTAATTGCTGAAGCATTTAATTATAAGTTGTTAGTTTAATGTATATAGTTTACTAATAGGCATGCTGGCTGAATTACAAAAAAAAAACAAAAAAACAATATACCACTTTCGGTGTTTACATTAGCCTGGCTGATTTCCCAAGAATATCACATGCACTGGATCAGTCTGGTTATCTTTTTTTTTTTTTTTTTTTTTTTGCGCCAAAAATATGAAATGTACATGAATGAAATTCACATATGGCATAGTTATACTGATAGGAATAAAAAAAAAATTATATTTTATCTCATTGGATGTTGCCAAGCGAGCGTGCTAAGCCAAGCTTTATTACACAACGCTAACTCAGTTTGTCCATTGAACGATCACTGACAGCAAATAATACAGAAAAACGCATTTTTCAGGAGATGTGCAATCGATTCGCTGTCTTAATATTAATTCCAGGCAACGTCGTTATAACAACTACTGTATTTGTCGAGTAATTATTCCATTCCTTTAAAAAATGCATAACGTTAGGGTACTATGCAATTTTTTTTTAATTTCTGCTTCATATAGTATATTTAACGTCTTTTCACAGACATCATTATCATCCGGGATATGCTGCTAATAGTCAGTATAATATTAGTTTTTAATTAGAAAATTCAAGGTTAGTGGTAAAAAATATGAGTAAGAGGATCAGTGATTATAACATCAATGGAAAGATGGACTGCTGGGGTATATATACTATAGTGTGGACCCAAGTGTCATTTCGCGAGATAGGCTTGCCCAAAGCAATTTTATCGCATTTTCTGGATATTTTGGGTATGCTGAATCCAAAAATGCAAGGGTCCATTTTTACCGAGATTGTTTTTTCACATAAAAAATAACAATAACTGTGCCATTAGAGCAAATATCAACATCATTTTGGCAGCAAACCCTATATTTTCAATGTCAACCTGTCCAATGGTGATATTCTCCTTGATCATTAATGGCGGCCATCTTGAATTTCAAAATGGCTGCCGTTCTTACATTAAAAATAACAATAGTTGTGCTATTAGAGCAGGTATCAACTGATTTTGGCAGCAAACCCTATATTTTCAATGTCAACCTGTCCAATGGTGAGATTCTTTAAAGTTATTTAAAATCAATACTGTACTTTTATTATTGGAATACATATCATAAGAATCATGAGATTTGCTTTTATAATACATTAATAGCCTCCAAGGGGAGGGGTTTACACATGTAATAGTTTGCACTTCATTAAATCTTGAACATCATATCTGTCGAATTTTTAACAAAGTTGGACTGTTTTATCTGGTTTGTAATCGTTAATCTGTGTCTTTGATGCTGTCATTATTTATTATTGATATATTGATGATGATAAACTCTAACCATTAGCAAAGATAAGGAAACAACCTCTGTCTTTGTTCTATTAACTTGATACGTTGTCCCCAATCCCACAAGTATATTTTGGTATTGCCAAATGCTAAAAATACCAATGAAGTAGATCCAACTCTTATTTTTTGGAAAA